CCCTGTGCCCGGCGGGCGCATGAAAAGGCAACAGGGAACATTAGGCCAAAACGGGCCCTGGCTGCGTGGCAGAGATGGGGCAGATAGGGCAGGCTCCTGAGGCCGGGCAGAGGAAATGAGCCCTGCCTGCCTTATCTGCCTCCCATCAGAGCCTGGCACCATTTTCCATGGAGCAGAGATCTACAGATAAGGGGGTGGAGGGCAGAAAGTCCCTGGCCAGATCAGCCAGAGGGGGTCCTTTGCTGAGCAGGCAGGGGGATGCCGGGATGGCTGAGGCTGGCTTCTCGGTGACCTTGTCACATGGCCTGCCCCGCAGGACCAATTCTCCATGAAGCTCCTGGGGGGGGGGACTGTTCACATTCCTTGTTGGGCCTTTTTTTCAGGCACTGCTAATGGGCGACCCCTCCTCACTTGGATGTATCCAGGGATAGTGGCTCAGAAATGGAATGGGATCTTGGAGACCCTGGAAGCTGTGCCAGCAATACCCCTCCCTCCATAGGGCACCTACCTGAGAAAGGAGTGGGTGGCATGCAGGGTCTCTGGGTGGGCCGGGCTGGTGCCGCAGGAGGAACCACGGAAGGGCAATCCTAGGCCTCGGCCCTCTCTTGGGGGGTTTCAGGGGCTTCCTCCTGCCCCGTCATGCCCGCAAAGAAGGGGAGGGGCAGGCCAGGCAGAGCCAGGGGGCTGAAGGAATGGCTCATCCCGGCTCCTCCGGCCCAGACAGACCCAGGGCCTCGTCTCCTTTCGACCTCCCACACCTAGACGTCCCGTTCCTTCCCTTCGGACGGTTTGTGTCCAGAGCCAAGCAGGTCCCCCCATCCTGGCCTCTCTCTGGGTTTTGGCAGAGCAGGGAAACCTTCGGGGTCTCTCTGGAAAGGGTCCCACAGGGACGCCACGGAAGAGGGCTTCTCGTGGGGTGGCCTTGTGAGGCTTCACACCTGCAGTAACTCGACTGACCTCTGCAGCCACCGGGGGAGGGGGGGCATAGGCACACCCCCACACCCGTTGTCCCTTGCCATGGAGTCCCCAGTGAGGATGGCAAAGAGGTTTTTGGACCAGCAATTGAGGTGTGAGGAAGATCCACGTGGCTTTAGCAGTTATGATGAGAAAAGACCCTGGAAATGGGGGGCCATCATGGCTCCTGGACCACCACCCCAGTTTCTTTTAGGCCCCCAGAGGCTGAGTGGAGCAGGCTGGCTCTGAGACCAGGAACCAAAATGACCTCTAAAAATAGAACAATATCTGAACCATTTAAAATGAAAACACCTGGAAAGAAGAATGCAGATTAATAACCGCTCAATGACTGCAATTACCAGTAGCTTTATTTGAGTGGCTCTTGACTGGAACGGAGCCTCGTCTGCATTCAGCAGTCAAGCCATGAAGAGGCTGGGGGGGGGGGGCACTTATTCTAAACCAGAGGTTAACAAGGGGCTGGGAGGAGGGGCCTCTGTGCCCCCCCACAAAGTCTTTTCCTTTTCCCTCTCAGAGCCCTGAATTGGGTAGTGAGTGCCCAAACCACCTGCAGCTGAGTGGGGTGGAGCGGGGCAGCCGGACACATTTGGGCTAGCAGACCCTCCCCACCGCAGAAGGACTCTGAAGGCAGAGTCAGCCTCAGGCAGGGAAGAGCCACTGAACAGCTGCCTTCATCCCTGCCAAGAGCAAGGGGTCTCCAGATCTTCTGTGCCTCCCCCCGCCCCTCCCCCCCTTTTGAATGAGTCAGAGGAGTGTGAAGAGTGATGGCTACAGCATCCTTTGTAGATCTCTTTCTCCTGTATGGAAACTGGTGTTTATCAAATATATGCGGAAGACCAGGAATAATGTGCCGGCAGACCAATTTCTCAAAGCACTTCATGAGGATAGGAGTGAGTGCCAACCGTCTATAATTGCTGAGGTTATCGATAGGGAACTTCTTTGGCAGCGGAACAATGGTGGAAGCCTTCAAACCAGATGGAATAGTGGACTGGGATAGAGGACTTTCTTGGCTTTCGGAGAACTGAAGAAGCTTCTTAAATGAGAAGTGAAACGTTTTCAAGGGAAAAAAACCCAAGAAAGCCCAGTTGCCTTTTGAAAAGAACCTTTGGGGCATCAGCTCAATCGACTCCCACTTTTCAAAAGCAGACCCCTCGCACCCCAAACTCTTCTCTTCCTGGACCGCACTTGCCTCTCGTCAGCTGCAAAGCACTTCTATGTGCTCGTCGTGAATCTCCAAAAACTCTTCCTTCTTGAGGACAAGAGACCGATGGCTCACCAGACTTGCTGATTTTAATAAAATAACAGTTGGAAAATCCAATTGTTGGCATGTTTTTAGCTGAGTTTTTAATATCCCATTGCCATCACATTCCCTACGGTGCTCCACCAGGCAACTGTGAAGAAGATGGAGCAGGATTTAATCTTGAGATTAATAGAAATATAAGGATTAATTGCAAGGAATTTAAATCTGCAGGGCCAGATGACCCGCCCACGAGGGTACTTGAGGAATTAATGGATGGTCTGGCTAAATTGGTATGTCTTCTCCTGTGCTCTGAAAAGGAAGGAAAACCAAGAAAAACTGAAATCTTTCAACTGCGGTGGTGGAGAAAATTATTAATAATTCTTTGGGCCTAATAATTCAATGTCAACCTCGAACCCCGTCAGGATCGAACTCCAGGCTGAGGGCAGAGTTTGCTTGTCATCCAGCACTTTTAACCACTGTGCCACCAGGGCTATCAGCTCTTATTACACTGATAGCCACCTTTCCATGTTCAGAGATTGGCCAGAGATACAGCAGCGGATAGATGACCAGAAGGTTCCCAATGGACATCGGTTAAACCTTGGTCGGCTCCGGGAGGCACCTTGGTGGGACCATTTCCCCCAATTCTCCACTCTGGAGCTTCAGAGCCATCTCAAACCGACCATGACTGCTCACAGAGCTATCCAGGAAAGTCCTCCTTTTTCAATCACTGGCTTTATGCAAAGCTGCTTGCCTGGTGCCAGATATGAAGAGGGACCGGATGGCAGACCTGACATTTTTAGCCACTTGAGAAGCAGTTTAGGACACTGTGGTCACACCACTGAGTGATCTGTCTAGCTCAGAAAGGAAGATGATTGTTCAGCTGGTAGTCAGTCCAGAGCAATGTCGCTCAACCTTGAGTGGACTTCAACTTCCAGAATTCCCAGACTGCCTGTTGGCCAAGGAATTCTGGGAGTTGAAGTCCACACATCTCAAGTTGCCAAGGTTGAGAATTATTTTTTTTTTAATTTGATTTATATGCCGCCCTTCTCCAGAGACTCAGGGCGGCTTACAATGTGCTAAACAATAGCCTTCATCCTTTTTGTATATTTTTATACAAAGTCAACTTATTGGCCCCACAAACCGGGTCCTCAATTTACCTACCTTAGAAAGGATGGAAGGCTGAGTCAACCTTGAGCCTGGCGAGATTCAAACCTGCAGTAATTGCAGGCAGCTGATGTTAATAACAGGGTGCTTTAGACCACTGTACTACCAAGGCTCTTATTGGCTTCTTAAAGCATCTTTGCAGTAAATAAGGACGAATTGCTGGAGCCTCTGGTCCATGAGAGGCAGCTCCTCCGGACTGTGGCCACATCACCTCCCCACCTGCAGCCCTGGCCTGCTACAACCAAGAGCAACTCAGAGGAGACAACTTCCCTCTCCTCTCTTAGCTCAGTCAATGTAATGCACGCCCAGTCGGTGCTTTGACCCAGGACTAAACCCTGGATAATGAATGTCTGGCTAGGCATGAAGTAGCAGAATTGTATCGGAGGCCCACCATTACTGTCACTATGGCTTCCTTGGCTAGATTGCAACCTGAAAGAAATGGAGATCCCAATTGCTTCCCTTCTTTTCCCAGCAAAGGCTGGTTGCAGCCTCTCCTGCACTTGCAATAATCTAGATGACCACTAGATGGCAGCAAAGACAAAGAGCAAAGAAAAGTTTGCCCCCTCCCCATCTGCCAGCCTTGCAAGGTAGTCCAAATACAAAGCACGTTCAGGACTATTAGCGCTGTATTTTATTGGAAAGTTATGTTAATAGAATCTTGCAAGTCTGGAGGTCCATGGCTCCACCCCGCTCACCTTTCTGATCCAAGACACCAGGGAGGATTCCCTTCTGAGCCATTTGCCATTCCTTCTGCGGCTCTTCCTCCCGCTTCCCCCAACAGGACGGGCCCATTCCCACCTACCATTACACACAGACCCGATTATTGCAGCCTTGCTAGTGACTGATTTAAGCGGACCTTCTCCTTTGCTGAAGACCCTGGGGGAGGGGGCAGTGACTTTTGCGCTTTCCTTTGACTTTTTGCACTTTGCTCTTCTGGTCTCTTGTATTTTTAGTTATAAGGTCACCTGAGACACAGGGGAGGCCGGTGGGCTATAAAATTCAGTTTCCCGCTTGGAAAACCACAGGGCCTCTTCTCCTGCTCTGCACGTGCTCTGCTCTGCGCATGCTCGCGCTCCAAACGCCCCCCCCCACCGTTCTGGAGTGCCGAGTCTGCCGCTTGCCCCTCCCCCCTCCCGTCCCCCCGGGGCTGGTCCTGCAGTTGCCCCAAGCGGCCCCTCCCCGGTGGGCAGCTGTGCACCCGGCCTGCTCCGTTTCTGGCAGGGGTCCCGGCTGACGGCCGATGCTCCCCCGCTGGCCGGGGTGGCGGAAGCCGGCTGGGCCGCTGGGAGCGGAGTCCTCGGCGGGGCGGGCGGGGCCGAGGGCGCTGCAAAGTCTCGGGGCGCGGAGGGGGGGCAGCCGGCGGGCCAGGCGCGGCTCTGCCTAGCGAGGCCTCCCGGGCGACCGTCCGGCCCAGCCTCCCCCAAGTTGGGGGGCGCCAAGCGGCCCGGAGGCCCCTCCCGCCCGGGAAGCTCTGCGCGGGACGCCCCCCCCCCCCCGCCGGGCCGCCGGGCCGGGGGGGGGGCCCGGCCGGAAAGGGGGGGCCCCCCGGGGGGGGGGGGGGGGCGCCGGGCGGGGGCGGGGGCGGGGCCAGCCGACTGCAGCTGCAGCACCGCCGCGCCTGCCGCTCCTCCGCCCGCCTCGCCCGCCGCCGCCCGCGGGAGCCGGAGAAACTTTGCCGCAGGAGCCCCCCCCCCCAGCCGTCCCGGGATGAGCCTGCCTCGGGCGAGCGAGGAGCCTCCGGCGGCGGCGCCGTCCTGGCTGCCGAGCCACGTGCAGGTGGCGGTGGGGCAGGCGCGGGGGCTGCGGGCCAAGGGGGGCCGGGCGACGCCGCCCTTCGTGGCGCTGCAGCTGGGCCGGCAGAAGCACCGCACCGCCGTGGCCGCGCAGAAGGGCGGCTGTCCGCGCTGGGCCGAGCAGTGCGCGCTGGAGCTGCCGCCGCCGCCGCCGCCCGGCCCGCGCCCGGCCCCGCCGCCGGAGCCCGACCCGCAGCTGCTGCAGCTGGTGGTCTGGCAGCGAGCGCTGGTGGGCCCCGACCGCTTCCTGGGCCGCGCCGCCCTCCCGCTGGCCGCGCTGCTGCAGGACGGCCGCTCCCACCCCGACCGGTGAGTGGCGCGCGGGGCTCCCGAAACGCCGAGTCACTCCCGGGGAAAGCATCGGGCGGGGGCGCCCCTGGTCTTCCGGGAGGCTCTTTGCCCATTCTGTGCAGGGGGGCACTGCTGGCACTCCTGGCATTCCGGTCTGGACGTTTGGGGAGGACGGAGGTGCAGAAGGCAGGCCAGCCCCTCCCCAGGGCAACCTTGACCCCAAGTCCGTTTTCCCAGATGTTGGGCACACCTGGGGCAAGACTTGCAGGTTGTTTTGCCCCCTCCGGAGGGCTGCCCACTCAGCCGCTGGTGCCCCAAGAGGTCCAGGAGCAGCTGGTTTGCAAAGGAGACCCTCTCTGGGGGGCCTTCCAAAGGGTGGCCCTGGAGCCCGCGTGCCTGGGGTCCCTTGGCAGAATCTTTGGCTAGCCCCACTGTGGAATGGGAAACGCCCATCTGGGACGGAGAATCTGAGGGCCTGGCTCTCTGAGGGATGGTGGCCTCCTGTGGAGGGTGGCTGGCACTGTTTGCCCTGAGAGAGTGCGGGTTCACGTGGTCTGTGGGGGCCCTGGAGCAACCAGGTTCCTCGGCTGGCTGGCTGGCTTGGCAAACTCCCTCTTAACCCTGGTTCCTGGCAGGTTTCAGGCAGGGAGGCTTATGAAGGACCAGGGCTGCTGCATCTCTGCCCAGTCTCCCCAGCCTCTGGGCTGGTCATTGAAAGAGCCGTGCCCAGGTCTCCCAGAAAGACAGATGCTCCTGCAACCCCCCCCCCCCCCCGCCCCTGGCCGGCAGAGACGGCATTCCTTTCCATCCGGTCCATTTGGTGAAGCTGTACAGATTGCTCCTCACTTCCCCCTTCTGGTGACCCCCAGACAGGCTGGACTTCAACTCCCATAGTCCCCAGGCAGCAGCATTGCCCAAGGTGGAATCGAAGGCCGGTTGTGGGAAGATGACTTTCAGCAGCCGATACTAAAACCCAGCCCGCTTGGCTGGTTGGTTCTGCCCCAGAAGTTTCCATTGCATTCTGCAGGTGTCCAGCTGGGGCCTCTTGGGAGGGGGCTTTGCAGCTTGGGATGCCAGGGTGGGAGAGCCGCCTTGTGGGGTTCCTCCTCCCGGCCGGATTCCAGGGGAGGGGTCGGGGAGTTGACCAGTCCCTGCTGGAGGGCACTGGGCGCTCGCTGGGAGGACCGGCCTTTCCGTCCGCGGCCAGCAGCCTTGTTGACCTGGCCTTGCTGAAGGCCCCTGTTGTTACAGCCAGGGAGCCAACCAGCTGCCCCCAGGGTGTGTCGTGGGCTGACTTTGGCCCAGGTTGTGTTTTTGTTCTGTGGTTTTGAATAGCTAAATTGTTTGGTCACTGGTTGCCTTAAATGTTTCACATTGAGTGGAAAGGAAGTGCAATATTGCAGAAGGGAACGTTTTGGGGGCCTGCAGGGAGGGCTGAGCGGGTGGCTGGGCTGCTGCTGCTGCTGCTGCTGGCACTGCCAGGGCTTTCTTCCTGCCTGGGTGCAGAGCATCAATTAGGGTGACACCCTGGCTTGTCCCATAGAAAACTCCCTGCCCCCCCCCTCCTTTGTCTCCTTGGGTGCCCCCTGGCCCAGAAGCTCCTCCTCCTCCCTGCTTCAGTGCAGGCCACTTTCATCACAGGCAATTGCTCCAAATGTCACACAATTGTGTGAACTTGGGGCTGTTCGCTTGAGATAAGGCTGACTGTTTGTTCTCCAGCCACCTCTGGGCCTCCCCTGGCACAATCTGTCTGTGGCCATGACCACCTCTACAATCGGTCTGTGCCTGCAGGAGCCGCAGGAAGCGGCACCTCCTGCCATCTGTGGATGGGCCTGAGTGTGTGTCCACATTTTCAGGCATTGTGAGATGAATCTACCAGAAATGAGGACCCAGATTGTGGGGGCAATAAGCTGACTTTGTATAAATGTACAAAAGTATGAAGGCTATTGCTTAACGCATTGTAAGCCACCCTGAGTCTCCAGAGAAGGGCGGCATATAAATTAAAGCCAAAAAAAATAAATAAAAATTAAGAAGCAGCCAAAGTTGTGTTGGAAGAAGGACGAGGTTGTTTCTCTGGGATAATAAGAAAATAATTTCAAGGAGCTAAATTTAGCTTAACACTAGGACTAACCTCCAAAAAGGAGTGTTGGAGTGGAAGAAGCCATTTCTGCAACTTCTTATGAAGTCTCCAAAGAAAGTTGGGCAGATCACAAGAAAACCGGGTGCTCCTTGCGACCACTTGGTGCATCTCACCTGATGGACTTCTGGGCATCGCAATTCACAGGCATCAAGAATGAAATGAAAGGGGGCTGGGGGGGGGGCTCGGCCCCAAGAGGAAGGATGGCAAGCGCTGCGCCTGGGCAAGGAAAGGCTCCTCATGCAGCAAGTGGGGGCTTCAGCCATGGAGGCAGAGAAGACTTGGTCCTGATAGAAGCAAACGTGGCTCCTGATGCTGGACGTTCTTCCCTTGTATTTTGGGACCTGAAGAGCCTTGCTGGAAACAAGCTTCAGGGTGCCGATAAAGAAGAGTATTTGTAGCTCAGAGCTGGAATGAAGGGCTCAACCAAGCTCAGCATCCAGGACCCTCCCAAACTTCAGAGCTTTTGGAATCCGGATGGTGACCCGCCCTTTGAGCAGAATGTGTCCATCTGAATTCAGAGAAGCCACACACTCCTTTTGGGGTGTGGAAGAAGGCCGTCTGACAGGCAGGGTTCCTTCCTCTGGTCGGTTTCAGGGCCTGCGTTGCTTCCGAGCGAGATGGTGCAATTTCCCCTTCTCTCACCAGCTGCTGCCCAGCATGGACAGCTGCAAGCTGAACCTGGTGCAAAGGGCTGTGGGTCGTTGCAAGCCTGCAAGAGCTGCGGGTGGAAGGTTTCCTGGCTGTGTTGAAATCTAGCACTAATTATGGCTCGTTGGCCGGCTTGGGAATGGCCACTGTCCACAACGCAGGAGAGCCTCTGCCATCAGCGGACACCAGCCTTCCCTTTCATTAGTTGTGAGTGTTGGACATCCCAGGCCACCTTTTCTGCAGAACCCTGGGAAAATAAAACTAAGGTTCTCAGAGTGGCCTAAGCCACAATTCCTGTAAAGCTGCCATACTTTCTGGGAATGCCAGGAATTCATCTAAAACCAGAATAGGAGAGCTCTTTATTTATAGGGATAACCTGGGTAACAAAGATAAAAATGCAGAACTCCATAACAATTTACAAGAGGCAAGTACAAGCCTGGGTGACATCTAACCTAGACCAGGCCACTTCACATCCTAAAAGCCACAGCCTTCCAGAAGGCCAGGAGATTCAAAGCTAATAGAGTGGAGGCGGCAGGTGCCGTGACAGAAGGCAACACAACCGAGCTGCTTCACCGAGAGGATCTCTGGGGCAGCCTGCCCTGCCAGATTTGGAATGCAGCCCTCGTTGGCTTGCAGGTCCAAACATCGAGGTCCTTTCTTTGGACTTTATGGCTGAGCAGAGCCTGAAGGATGAAACGCTGGAGGTCTTGGGCCTTCCCCCTCTCCCTGAAGCCCTCAGGCCCGGCCCTCTTATCTTTGGGAGGTGGCTTGGTGGTGCCCACTATCCTCCTTTGCTTCCCATCACCTGGCAGTGTTGCAATCTGTCTTTTGGATCCTTTTGAGTTGCTCTGGCGATCTGTTAGAGTGAAGTACACCCCGTGTCTGCTCTTGGGGTGAGCCAGGTAGGGAAACAGGCGCGGCCCCGATTCCAGGAATGCAATTTTATTATTGTGGGGAATCTTGAAAGCCTGCCAAGGTTGCTCTCAGCCCTCTTGGAGAGGGTCTCTCCCTCTCAGAATTCATGCATTTCCTGAAACACACCCGTTGTTCTTAGGAGCCAGAGTTGGAAAGGACCTAAGAGGTCATCAAGCATCACTCCTTGCATCCAGCAGCATTCACTGCACCAGCCCTGCTTGTTGGCTGTCCAGCCTCTGTAGGAAAACTTTCAGTAAAGGAGAAGAAGCCATGCCAGGCTTTAATTGGGTTCCTCTTCCTGACCAGGTGTCCTTCCTTCCTTCCTTCCTTCCTTCCTTCCTTCCTTCCTTCCTTCCTTCCTTCCTTCCTTCCTTCCTTCCTTCCTTCCTTCCTTCCTGTGAGTTCAGGTCTTCCCCTCTGAAGTGAGGGAGAATTCTGTATGTCCAAACTCTCTACAACGTCATGCCCCCTCAGGTGTTTGAAGACAGCTGTCAGCCCCCCCCCTGCAAACTTCTCTTCATCCAAATTGAACACCTACCTATCAGTTGCCTTTCTCAACTCTGAATGCGTCACAGCCTTGGTGGGTGTGGGCCCCTGGATGGAAGGAGGGTCTTGTGTCATCACGATGATCTGCAGCCTTCTACTCCCCAAGTTGGTTGGATTGTGGCTTCTGAGGATGCCAGTTGGGGAAGGATGGCCTTGGCCTAGGCTGGGGGAGAGGACAGGAGGAGAACCCTAATCAGTGGGAGCCAGGCTTCCCAATAGGCCTGCAATTACGCACGGTCTTTGCTGACCTGGACTTTCTGTGCAAATGAGAGGGGCAGGAATGTCAAGGGGCCGACCTGTTTTCCAAGGCAGGAGAAGAAGCAGCGGATGGAAACCAATCAAGGAGAGAAGCAACCTGGAGCTAAGGAGGAATTTCCTGACCATTAGAATAATCAACCAATGGAACGACTTGCCTCCAGAAGTTCTGGGTGCTCCAACACTGGAGGCTTTCAAGAAGAGACTGGACAGCCACTTGTCTGAAATGTTATAGGGTTTCCTGCTTGAGCAGGGCTTGGACTAGATAGAAGATCTTCCAACTCTCTTATTCTGTTCTGCCTGCTGATCTGTTTCTGGGGAAAGATTGAGACCTGAGGAGTTTTATTCATCATTTATCTAATTTATATAACCAGCTATCTCACAGCCTCCCCCCCCCCCGTCTGGGGAGAGCCCCCAAACTGGTGCTTTTCATTCAGGGCCCCTTCCCCAGAAAAGCGCTTGGGAAATAAAGCGGCACTTTTAGAATTGCTTTGTGGAGTTTTTAGTCTTTCACGAGGTTGCCGGAGTTGAGACTCCCAGGAATGAATGCATAGACTTGGGTTTTGCTGCTGTTTTGCTGAAATTTGTGTTTATTTATTGACTTTGGTTTCAATTGGAATATTGTAAGTCACTGGGAGACACGTTGGACCATGGCAGTCAGTACATACTGGGAATGGGGGGGGCTGGTTCTGTGGGAGCTGAGGAGTAACAAAGAAGAGGGCTAACTCAAACTAAACCTTGGGCAGGGGTGTCCCCCAAGAGGGGTCTGGGAATTCCGGAATAACTCATGTCCAAATTTTGTGATGCAGAGGTGTTGCCCTCTGAGAGTAGAACGGTTGGCTTTTGCTTGCTTTAATGCCTATGGCACCCATTGCCTGCCTGGCTGGTACCCCACTGGCAAGAAGAGAAAAGTCTGAGCTGGGAGGGAGCTCTCTGCTGCCACCTCTCCTGGGCACCCCTGGGCAAAGCCTCCAAGGCAGGCAGCCCACTTGGGATGCCAGGGAGAAGAGTAGCAGTCAGAAGGAGTGAAGGTTGGAACCCCAGAGGGAACGGGGGTCTTTCCTGTCACTGAGGCAGGGCCCCCCACTTCTGCCTTGCACAGTAGCATATTGGGGAAGTGATTTGCAGACCTGTGAGAAGTTGTGGGAAGGGTTGTGGGCTCTTGGCAGCCTCGGCCCAAGCATCTTCATCTGAGCCCCTTCTGGGCTGACGGGGGTGGGTGGGGGGTGGCTTGCTTTTCAGTGGCTGAGCCAGCAGTCCCATTCCTAGAAGGAATGGAGCACAGAAGCTGGAGATTGCAGGCGGATTTTTTGCCAGGTAGGGAGGGCCGTTTGAGACCCAGATCTGTGGGGGCCCTTGACTTGTCCTTGCAGCCTTTTTCTTGGGCCCTTTTGCACAGGGTGAGCAGAGTCCTGAAGCCGGCTGCCTGTCCCAGTGATGCTGGCCAGCCAGATGTTCTAGCAAACGGAGTAGCGAATCCGTGCCAGGGCGGCTCTGCCTGGGCTTCGGAGAAAGGCCTCTCCAGAGTGTTTGCAACAACCCCAGGCTGGATTGCTGTGGATCGGTTTCCTCCTTCGCTGTGGGCCGGGTATTTTGGAAAAAGTGTGATGTTGACGGGCCTCCACTGAGTCATGTGCTCCGAAGTGCTTCCCCACCTTCCCCGAAGCTTCTCCAAATAAACATTTCTCTGGATATGGGCTGGCAGGGAAGAGCTGAGGAAACTGGGCTATATTGCCAAGTGCAGATAGGAGGCCTGCAGGCTGCCTGGGAGGAAAAGCCCCTGGCCTTGGGGCTGGGAAAGGGATGGGGCCTTCCTTCCTCCCTCCCTCCCCTCCCTCCCTCCCTCCCTCTCTTCTTGGCCTGTAGTCTCTCAGCTCAATCTTTTAGAGAACTTTTCCCATCTCTGCTGCCTTAGAAAACATGAGGTAGAAGAGCAAGCAACAATTTATGCAAATATAAAGAAGCAAATTTCAAGGGCGACTACCTGGGGTTGCCCTTGAAGAGCATCTGGGAGCTTCAACTGGCGCAGAACTCGGCTGCGGTGGTGGTTAATGGCGTCTGTTTTCAACGCGTGGGACACTCCGCCAGCGGCCTTGGTTCCCACTCGTTTCTGCCCATCCTGCCCGGTCTGGCTCAGGTCCCTTCGGCCAGGGATTGCTGGTTGCCTGGGAGATGGGCCTTTTCTGCTCTAGTGCCCATCCTCTGGCATAGTCTCCCCCTGGAGATGAGGATGGCCCCAACCCTCCTGCTGGCCCTTCGTAAGGCCCTAAAGACCTGGCTCTGGGCCTGGGGCGCTGAATGTGCGGAGGGGCCCGGCTCCTGCCTGTGGCAGTGACTGCTACCTTCCCCTTGGCTGCTGCTTTCTTGGCATTTAGGTTCTTGTAGTTACGATCGTAATGGCGTCTCCTGTTCTCGTATGATTTGAGAGACGGTTCACTTCCCAGAGTCCTTGTCGAGATGGGCGACTATATAAATTGACCAAATCAATCCCCTCCCCCTCCCCCTCCCCCAAGGCAGTGGGCTCAGCTTCCTTGGGGCTGAGTAGCAGAGTCGGGATTCCCTCCCTCGGTTCCTGGAAGCCCCAACACATCTGGCGGGGGGGCGGGAGGTCAAGGGCGGCTGCAGTTGTGTCCTGCTTTGCTTGAAGGGGGGGGTCAAGATCTGGTTAAGGACCAGGTGGGCCGGTGGGCCCTTCCAGCTCTGCCTTCTGGAAGCTCCTGTGAGCTCCTGGGCCAACCTTCATGCTGGCGCTTTGCATGAGGAAGAAGAGCAGAGCGGGAGGCCGAGTTGTCTCCTTCACCAGGGCAGCAATAGGGAAGCGCCTGGCTGCCTCCTTTCACCCTTCCTTTGCTAAGCTGGGGGGTCATTTAGTATAGTTTGTCTTGGGTCTTTCTTATCCCCTTGTGGAAAGAATGGCTTGCTCAGCAATTTTTCTGGCTCAGGGATTCTGGGAGTGAAGTCCATGGGTCGCAAAGGGGCCACGGCCCACCGTAGGGTGTAGGGAGACATCCAGCAAACACTGGAGCCACTCGGCCCTCGGCAGGAATCTGGGCAGGGCCGGAAGCACAGTAGAGACCCTCCCTAGTTTGGGGGCTGTAAAAGGGAGGGGGAGGAGAAAGGGACGTTCAGACTTCAGCCTTACAAGCTGCTTTATTGTAAGATTATATTAACAGGGCCTTGCAAGTCTGAAAGTCCATTTCTCTCCCCATCCCCCGTCCTCTTTACCGCTCGAGAAACAGGGGAGGGTCCCTCCTGATCCCCTGGCCCGTCCCGGGTTCCTGCTGCCGCCCATATGGCCATTCCAGGATACCATGGCATCCAGTTCGTTGGCATCTGTTTCATGGGCACAGAGGGCCCATTTTATGACAATTGGCATGCAGGCAAAGGTGGGACCCGGCAGGGTCTCTGCCATCTCATAGGGGAAGGTGCAGGGGTGGGGGGCACAGAGCTTAGCTAGAGCGGACCTTTTGCACATTGTCATTGGGGGGAGCGTGGTAGGTTGCAGCCAGGCAGGTGAGCTCATCCAGGTGTGCGGATGAGGCAGCTGCTGGCTTTTCTTGGTGAAAAGGAGGAAGACCCCCGCCCTGAGGGGAGCCCTGCTGAGATGGGGCAAAGGTTTCCAGGGCAGCCCAGGAGGAGTTGGCCTGGCTGTTTACGTGGGGTGGAGCGTGCCGGATCAAAGCAGAGGGCCCTCCATTCGAATCCTGCTCAGGGCAAGTGCGAAGAAGAGAAGCTGGGAGAGGGTGGCAGAGAGCAGGGCGCCCTCTGGGCACTCCCCAACCTGATGCCCCTGGAATTGCCGCTTCCAGATGTTCCTGGCAAGGGGCTGGATAGCATTGGGGCCAGGTGGCTGCTTTTGGGAAGGGCAGCTGGGAGAGGGGCATCGTGAGGATGTCCCCTGCCCCTCATGGGGTCGCTGGGTTGATGCCCTCCCTCCTGTCCCCCCAGGTGGTACAAGCTTCACTCCAAGCCGGGCAAGAAGGAGAAGGAGCGGGGTGAGATCCAGTTGAGCCTGCAGTTCACGCGCCACAGCCTGACGGCCAGCATGTTCGACCTGTCGGTCAAGGAGAAGTCGCGCTCGCCCTTCCGGCGGCTGAGGGACAAGATGAAGGGGAAGCACAGCTACGACCTGGACTCCTCCTCCGCCATTGTGCCCAGCAGTAGCGGGGCCCTGGATGACGACTTCCGCCCGGGGCCCCCCAAGGACAAGGCCCGGGGGGGCTTCTTCTTCAAGAGCCAGCTGCGCCGCTCCTCCCTCACCCGCTCCAGCACCTCCCTGGGCTCCGCCAGCACCCTCTCCTCCGCCAGCAGCCTGGGGGCTCTGGGCAGCACCGAGGGGGGGGCGCCCTCGCCCAGCCGGCACAGCAGCCTCTCTACCGACCCTGCCGGTAAGTAAGCGGGGGGGACGGGGGACAGGACGGCCAGGGATGGGACTATGCCAAGTGGCCTTAGGAAAACACCCCCGCCCCCCGGCCCCAGGGTTCTAGGAGGACCCTGCATCTGGCAAGGGGCCCCCCCTGGGGGTCGGGGGGGGGGGGGGGGCTTTGCCTCTGAGGGATTTTTGGGAGGCCTGGCCATAAGAGGAGAGAAGTTCTTGGCCCCTCTGGAGCAAGTCCTCCTCAAAAGAGGCATGGCATTGGGAAGGAGCCCCCCCCTCCATATTAAGGGTCATTTCACAACCCAGCCAACTTCTAAGCTGGGTGAATTATTCTGTTTTGGGAAAAACAACCAAAATAAGTCCGGTAGCACTTTTTCCAACTACAGTTTTCATTAAAGGAGTAAGATGTGGGTCACAAAACCTGATTTTCAATAAAATGTGTGAGTTGGAAAAGGCTATTCTCAAAGCAAAGGGCTGCCCCTCTGTTGTGCCTCTGTGGGGCAGAGCAGCTGGGAGGCTGACCATTTCTTTCTTTCTTTCTTTCTTTCTTTCTTTCTTTCTTTCTTTCTTTCCGTCTTTCTTTCCTTCCTTCCTTTTTTCTTCCTTTCTTCCCACCTCCCCTCCCCTCCCCTCCCTCCCAGGAAGAGATTTTCTGCCCTCCCCCCAGCTGACCCACAAGAGGGCCTTCAGCGATGAGGTGAGCCAGATCAACCTGCTGCCAGAAAGCGTGCAGGGCCTGAAGACCCCAAAGGACCCCTCCTCCGGGTCCTCGCTCTGTATCAACGGGAGCCACATTTACTGTGAGGAGCCCACCCCCAAGCCCTCCTTCCTCTCGCTGGCCCCCTTTCCTCCTGCCCAGAGCGATCCTAGCAAGCAGGAGGGGGGCTCGGGGGCCGGACTGCCTGCTGTCGAACCGGACCTGCCGCCCTGGCCTGCCAGCGGTTTCCAGAAAGGACCCCCGAAAGACCTCCCCCGGTTCATCCCCTCGCCCCCCATTTTGGCGGCGCAGGAAGAGGACAAGCTCTCTGTGAAGACCATCGCCCTGAACAAGCAGCGGGCCCGAGCCAGAAGGGAGGAGGGGCTGCAGGCCGAGAGCAAGCCCGTTCCCATGGCCGCCCCCCTGGCTTTCCCCCCGGAGGACGAGAGGGATCATCGTGGGAGCCCCAGGGGCAACGGCCAGAGCCCCGAGCCGAGTCTGGAGGCCGCACCCGGAGTGGAAGAGGCGCCTTGGAGTTGCAGTGGCGGCAGCCGGATCAGTCTGAGAGACCCCAGGGAGCCGGTTCGAAAGCCCAGGTGAGCCTGCATCTGTGGGGCTGAGCCATGGGATTGGGAGAGGGGTTGCCATGGTGCCAGGGAGGGCTGAGTTGGAAGTGGCTCTTCTGGGCTCCAGAGTCCCTGCTCTCAGGCGGTTGGGTCCAGCCAGCCCTGTTGCTGACCTTTTGCACCCGGGATAGAGGCTGGCACATCCGGAGAGGCAGCTGCCTAGGCGGGGGTGGCAGAGCCTGGGGTGACTGACTGAGTTTGGGCGGGGTTCCCAACCTTCCCAGTGCCAGGGCTGCCTTGGGAATGCCCGATTGGCATAAATCCAGCTGCTGGGCAGGATGGGGGCTGCGGAAAGGAAGGCCAAGGTGGGAGATGAACCAGGGTGGCACCTGGAGCAAGGCTACGGCAGCTGCTTCTGAGACCCCTGCCCGAGGGGGAGCTGGACCCACGAGGACGTTGCCTCAGCCCAGCCTGAACTGGGCTGTCTGCGCTTGGCCAGTTCCTGATGGTAACGGGGTCTGCTCTGTCATTAGGGCAGCTGGACATTTGAGTCGGGGGCTCTTTTGAATTTGAACAAGGGGCAGTGAAAGGGAGGAGGAGATCTGTGCTGGAAGAAGGAAGGAAGGGCTGGTGGTGTTTTCCTGGGATTCAGCCTGCTGAGCACTGGGGCGGTTGGGGGGATCTGGGGGGGGATGGGGAAACAGATGAAAACCACCTGAAGTCCATTTTTTGCTGCATCAGTCAGGCTCATGACGAACAGAACAGAGTCCCAGTTCAGCCAGTCACTCTGGATTGCCCCCTGAACAGCTGTAATGGCTTTCAAGTAGAAGACGCAGCAGCGCTGGGGTTCCCCTCCTCCCTCGCTTGCTTCCTGGCCCCCCATGTACCCTCCAGGAGCCCCCTATGCGAGGAAGAGTCCATTTTGTGGCAGCACTGAAAGACCATTTCCACCTCTCTCTGAAAATGGCGGCCACTGAAATGGGACTGTGGTACTTTGGGGGCCCCTCAGGAGCCCCTGGAGCTGCTCCCAAACGTCACTTTGGGAAAACATGATTAAAATGGAGGCATTGGCATCTCAGCCTCTAAGCAGCCTCTGTGTAGCTCTGGGCCTCCCTTTTGGGTTTTGCAGGGTCTGATCTGGGGCTTCCTTGGAGTGTAACGTGGGAGTGAAAGGTCCTGCGTGTCGCAGAGAGGAGTCCCTCATTCCAACATCATCCTTGCTGAGTTGCATAGATTGTGGTAGAGACTAACAACAATCCACTGGAAACGGTTCCCACCATTTGAGCAAGGACACCAGGTGGGCATCCACATTCACATCAATGTGGTCCTGGATGATGACCCCAAGCCCTGGTCAGGTGGCCCCCAAGAACCTCCTGGAGAAAAGCTGAGGTCCAGTGAGGAGCTGAGGAGGAGCGGCAGCAGCAGCTTCGGGGCTTCCAAGGCGGCTGGGTTGAGGGGGGAACGTTGCCCAGATACTGAAGTGACCAGAGGCAAAAGGACGAAACCATTTTAGGATGAGGTGGGAGAGGGAGGGGGGGTCATGGCGGGAGGCATCCAGAGCAGACATGGCCAGAACAGGAGGCTGATACTCTGGGAATCCGGCATGGAGACTTCCTGTGACAGCTGAAGAGCAGCCAATCCTCCTGTGCGGTCAAGAAAAGGAGGAGAAGAAACGGAGTAGCCATCATTAACTAAATGGGGTAAAGCAATGACCTCGATTCAGAGCCCAACCGACCTTATTCGCACAGGTAGTCCATGACCTACAACTGTATTGGAGCCTTCCCATTATGGCCAAAAGTTGTGACGGTCATAAAGCAGGTCACTCACGTGTCTGACCTGATTTTACAATTTTTTTTGCAGTGGTCATTAAGCAAACACCAGGGTCATTAAGTGAACCGGTTGTTCACCGTAATCTGTTCATGCTGAAAACTGGATGTAAATGCTGCTTTTTGGAAGAAACGTCGTAAAACACAGTCAGGTGGCCATGGGACAATGCAGATGGTCGTAAATGCAGATCAGTTGCTGAAATTTGGTCATGTGACCACAGGGGCGGGGCCTTTGATTCTTTGGAGCTGGGTTCCCATTGGCATCCCCAGGGTGATCTAGTCTAACTTAGAATGGTTGCCGGGTTCCTGTGTAGATCCGAGTCTCTAGATTGAACCACCAAAGCGGAAGGGAGTAAACGGGTCTGAGCCATTTTCATCAAAGAGGAGACTGGAGCGCTACAGTTGGAAGTGAACAAACTTCTGGATTAAGAAGAAGGAGGTTTGGCTTCCGGGCTCCAAGAGGAGGAGAGAGAAAGAATCCGGATTGACGGGAGGCCCAGCCTCAGAGCCTCCTCAGGGCGCCCTCCCTGGAGACGGTGCAGGGAAGGTCAGAGGTTCTGCCTGGCCAGCAGAAAGCAGGTCTCCTCGCAGCGCAAACTACAGGAAGCACAGAGATCAGGCCCACGAGGGGGGACCTCAGCCGTATTCCGTATCATCACGCGATAGAGCTAAAAATAGATGCAATGGCTTAGACTTGATGAGTAACCGGAATGATGTCATGGAGCAAAAATACTCCAAAATGCTGCGAAGCAAATAAGGTGGAAAGATGGTCGGCTGACAGGTTAAAAAAACAGAAGCTGAAGGAAGCAAAAGAAATCGAGAGGAAAAATTGCCTGGCTAAACTCTGCGCTACACAGACAGCAAGGAGAAGGCAGGAATTGCAGCTCCATAAATAAATAAATAAATAAATAAATAAATAATTTTATTTCTATACCGCCCTTCTCCCGAAGGACTCAGGGCGGTGTACAGCCAATTTAAAAACACAACACACAACAATAATTAAAAATTAAAATAATTACATAGATTTGGCCGATTTAAAACCCCAAACATTTAAAATACCCCAATTAAAATTATTAAGTTGATAGCCCTGCCTGGCGGAACAACAGGGTCTTCAGTGCGCAACGAAACACTCGGAGGTCGGAGATCTTGCGTATTTCCGGGGGCAGTTCATTCCACAGGGCTGGGGCTCCCACAGAAAAGGCCCTCCCCCTGGGTGTCGCCAGCCGACATAACTTGGTTGACGGCACCCTGAGGAGACCCTCCCTGTGGGAACGGACTGGTCGGTGGGAGGCTATTGGTGGCAGAAGACGGTCTCGAAGGTACCCGGGTCCTATGCCATGGAGCGCTTTAAAGGTGGTAACCAACACCTTGAATCGCACCCAGAAGACCACTGGGAGCCAGTGCAGCTCGCGCAGGAGGGGTGTCACGCGGGCACAACGAGTTGCGCCCATAACCACCCGCGCGGCCGCATTCTGGACCAGTTGGAGCCTCCGAGTGCTCTTCAAGGGGAGCCCCATGTAGAACCTCAAGGACAAGATTTTTATTTAAGAAGATCTCAGAAGTCAAGAGAACCTTTTCTGCAAAGATGGACGTGGTGAAAGATCAAAATAGAGCAGCAAAGGAAGACCTTGGGCCATTTTGAAGGACTGTGTGTGTGGGGGGGGGGAGGTGGAATCCCTAATTAAAAATGTGTATGAAGGTTTATTTATTTATTAAATGTCTTTGCCACCCGTCTCACTAATTCAGCAACAGGTTTATCCGCTGAAATGGAGCCAGAAGTGACCTAAGTGGGCTTAGAAAATATTTCTTAAAAATTCTGCTGCAGCCGTTGTTGAAACAGCAGCTGAGCTGTTTTTAAGCCTCTCTTTGTAAAGTGATGCAGTTGAAATGCTGCTTGCAAATTGGAATCAGGTATCAAAACACGGCAATGGCCCAGAAAGATGCCACTTGCGTTTTCCCTCATGTGCTCACATTTGCTCCAGATGTGCCTTTGGAGGAGACAGCCCCCCCCCCCAATTCACTTTACCTAACTCGGGGGTGGTGGTTGTAGATTACACAAAGCCTTTTAACTATAGATCACAACTTGTGGGTGGTTGTTAAAAAGGGTGCATAAGAGGGTAGCTCAACCAGGGTGCCCGTTGAAGAACGTTTATAAGGGCCAGAAAAGCCACCATCTGATTGGAAGATGGCACAAGTAAGCAGCTCAGAATTGTGGAAGGTTTAAGGCCAAGACTGTAGGAGAAGGACTGGCAGAGCCAGGGGGAGGAGTAAAAAGGGGAACCAGCCTAGAATTGGTATGTAGCCACAAATGAAGTAACTCCAACCTCCCTTAAATTGACCCTTACCTGACTCCAAGCGGGCGCTGACCATTGCTGGAGAAGATTTCTGTGCCCAGGCTTTTAGCACATAACTCGGTTAAATTGGACCTCCCCGTGTAGATCAGGTTTCTTGGGCCTGAGCTGATTTCTGCAGCTTCCTGTTCCTCTGGCTCCTCCACAGAGTCCGAAGTGAGCTTGTGGAGAAGCTGAAGCATTCATAAGGCGTGAGATGGGGCATCAAAGGTTGGGCTTTGACCTGAGCCTTCTAGCTTCTTGGGCAGCTGGGCAGCTGTGCTGAGGGCAAAGGGCCGGCTGTCCGGGCACCAGATGCTGTTCCAGGGTGGGAGAAATCTGCTCATCTGGCAGAAGGGCTGGGCAGTGGTTCTCTCCACCAGCCTTCTGCCCGTCCAGGTCCCAGGGGATGGGGGGGGGTGTTCTCTGCTGTCAGAGGGGCTCATTTCCTGGAAGGGCAGAAAGTCTCTGCAAGGGGCTGGCATTGTCCAGGTGACTTTTTCCGACTTCCTGAGCTTGTCAGAATGACTGGAGGACATCAGGGGGACGGATGGGGGAGCTACAGCAGCGTTGGGGGCTTCAAGGGAGAGTGAAGGCAGCCCTCCGAGTCCCCGCACAGTCCCCCACCCCCAATAAAGAGTGCAGCATTATTACTTTTGAGGGAGGAAAAGGAGGACTCTTCGGAGGGGGGGGGGAGGGAATTTAAAGCCATCCTGGGACGGGGAGTCTGTGGGGAGTGGGCAAGGTCAAAGAGGCTGGGGGCAAGTCCCCCATGGAAAGCCCGTTGGGAGGCAGTCTGGGAGGGACTCCGACGGCTGTGTCCTTGGAGCAGGCCAAACCCGAGGGGTCGTGTGGGGAGGCCCAGCCTGCCTCCCCCCTCAACCGTGAAGGGGGAGCCCACTTCTTTTCCATCTCTGCTGCTTTGTGCTGCTTTTAAGTTATCCATTTTTGTGGCTTCTGCAAAGACTGGTTGGTTGCTGTGGTTCCATGAAGGCACCAGTGGGTGTCTTGTATTGCATGGGTGTGTGTGTGTGTGGCTGTTGGTGGACCTGAATCATTTGGGGCACTGAATTGTGACCAGTGCAAGGGGTCAGAGTCACCTGGGGTGACTTCCAGGGTCACCCGGGAAGCCGCCTCTGTTCTGGCCTCCAAGCAGCCCTCCTTCCTTTCTGCCCCCCCCCCCACAAGATTCCCCTCCACCAGCCCTGCCCCAGTCAAGCCTATCCTTGAGGACTAGCTCCTCGTCGACAAGATACTAAACTTGCTTCCCTGCTCGCTTTCTCCCTAGTTCCCAGCCTGGCCTGCCTGCAACTCCAGAGCTCGCCAAGGACCCTAGGGTGGTTCCTGAGGATCAGGGCCTCCCTCCCTCCATCCAGGCCGGAGAAGCACAGCCTGAGCCCCGAGCCCCACCTGCCAGCCACCTCCAGCCATCGTTGCCCGCTGCTACCGCTGCTGCTCCTGCACGCCCACCCGTGGAAGGGGACGATGGCTTTGACGCCTTTGCTGCCAGCCGCTTCCAGCCAGCAGCTCCGGAGCCTGAAACCCCTCCCACCACGGAGCCCCCAGGGGGGGCGACTAGTCTCCTCCCACAGCAGGAGGAAGGGCCCCCCAGCCCTGAGAGGGTCTCGCAGGAGAGTCCGGGCTGGCTGAGCTGCGCCTTTGGGGACAGAGGCCGGGCCTGGAGTGGGTCTGGGGGGGCCCTGCTAGCGAGGGGGACCTTCGGGGAGGGAGGGAACTCTGCCCCAAATACAAGCAGCCTCCGAGGGGAAGCCGCCCGTGCCCAGAATATGGGGCGGCTGGGTTCCTCCATACCTGTTGCCCCAGATGTGCCCGAAGAAGCGCTCAGGTGGACACCAGAGAGCTTCCCATGTAACCGGACCATCCCTTCCTTGGCCGACTCCTCTTCGGAGCAGCTGGACTGGGGCCGAGAGCAACAGACATTGCCCCAAAGCCAGCCGGCCCCCCAAGTTGAAAGCAGTGAGCCCTCTTGGCTTCCGTGGGACCCCGAGAGGGAAGAGGACGTGGGTGTCGAGGAGGCCACCCCGACCGGCGGAGGCCCTGCCCAGGAGGAGCAAAGGGTGCCAGCAGAGACTGAGGTGCCGAGGGGGGCAGGGACCCCTCCTCCAAAGCCGGCCAGGAGGGTCCCCCCTCTCCAGCTCACCGAAGAAGCCAATGGGGCTGGTTGGGGCACGCCGGAGAGCCCCTGGCCGAGGGGGGCAGACCCAGAGCCTCCTCCGCACCTCCCTCCTGTGGGGGCAGCTGATTCCCCTCCAGCGGCTGCCGTCTCCCTGGTACCAGCAGTGATAATTGGGGCAGGCGTTTCTGGGGCCCCCGAGGGCCTCCCACTGGCTGCTGCCGAGGACGAGGCTCTGCAAGATGACAAGCCGGGGGGCCAGGAGGAGTCTTCAGGGGCAGCCATCTTCACAGCGAACGAGGGGCCCAGTGCGGAGGCCCTGCCATTCTCCACCTGCCCCTCCCAGCTGTCCTTGGGCGGATTAGGCCTCTCGGGGGTCCCTGAGAGTCCCAGGCAGGATGGGGAGACCAGCTTTGCCCCCTGGGGGCTCGAGGGTGCCTGGCCGACAGGGCTGCCCGGCTCGGCCTCATTGTGGAACTCAGAGAAATTTCCCCAGCCCCCCGAGGCTTCCCATAGCCCCCCTGAGCCACAGGTGGAGCCCAGCCCGTCTCTGCTGTTCTGGTCTGCCTTGGAAGAGCACCGGGGGCTGCTTGGAGGGAGCACCAGCTTGGAGAGCCCATGCGGCCTAGGACAGAAGGATGTGGCCACTGGGCTGGCCCCTTCGCACCCGGGGCACGAGCAGGAGCTCCCCTCAGGAGGGCCCAGTGACCAAGCAATGGACTTCAGGAAGGCTTCTTTCTGGCAGGAGGGCAGGGGGGAGCCAAAGAGCAAGGGGGAGGATCCCGTGCTGACCCCAGGCAACCCTTTTGCCCCCTGGGCCGCCCCCTCTCCACAGAAGAACCCCTTTGTGGACCTGCCTGCTGCAGAGGTGCCCTGGGCCCAGGCTGCCGTCCTTCCGTTCTCCCCCACTGTTGATGCCCACAGCCTGGGAGAGTTTCCTGCAGCCACCAGCCCTCCCAGGGAGCTCCGTTCTCACAGCTTCTCTGTGGAGCTCCCGGTGGCCCCCAGCCGGCCTTGTCCCCGGCCCTTGGCCGCCTCCACCCCTTCCTTCCAGCCCGCCCCAAGCCCCACCGACTGCCACCTCCCTTCTCCCCTGGGGCCCCCAGCCACTAGTGCAGGGGCTGCAGCGGACGGCCAGACCAGGGCCCCCCCGTCCCCCTTGCTCTCTCCCCCCAGCACAGATGCCTCGGCCCCTTCGGTCCTGCCCATGGAGATGCTGCCGGCTCAAGACGCCCCACGCCAGCAGACGGCCAGGTGAGCAGCGGGGGGCTGGAGGGGTGCAGGCGTGTGTGTGGCCGGGTGTCTGTGCCTGTGTGTGCAACTTCTCAGGAGAGTGCTGTTGCCTCCCATCTCTGCTTGGCCCCCCTGCCGATTCCTTTGGCTCAGCCAGGCTGCTCTCTGTGTTGGGGTCCCTCTGGGGTTTGTATTTCTGGCCTCCCCATTTCTAGCTTGAGTTGGCTGCCTGGCTCCCAGCTGAACACAGCCATCTTCCTCTCTGGCGGGCAGGAGGCTTTCATGTGCCAAAGCCAGTTCCCTCTTCCCCTCCCCACCCCACCCCCCATAGTAAATGCCACCACTTCCCGGGGGTCAGGGGCAGGGGAGAGGTGGAAAATCTTGGGGTCCCTGCCTCCTCGAAGGCTTGTGAGAGGGGAGCTGTAATAACCAGCATTTTTGGCAGGAATGGTGCCCGAGGCCAGGACAGTTGTGGGCCTGGAATGCCAGCTGGGGCGGCCCCTGCAGCATTGGGCTTGAGGCCGGAGCCCTCACGGAAGAGGGCCTTTCCCTTGCAGGTGCTCCGAATTCTCAACCCAGGAGGCCAGCTGCTCTGCAGACTGAGGATCCTGGGGATTGTAGTCCCAGCGCCTCCAGGGGTGACCTGGGTGCAGCTGTGGTGTCCTAGTGGCCGAAGGGCTCTTGAGTGGGTGCAGAGTGTTCCCCCTGCCCCCAGCACAGCCTCTGTGGCCGGAAGAGCTACCCAGCCAGACGAAGGGAGGGGAGTTGGGGTCTCACATCCACTGCTATTCTTAACAGAATAATGGGGTTGGAAGGGAGGTCTTCAGCCTCCTACTCAAGCAGAAACCCTCTACGACTTGAGACAAATGGCTGTCCAGTCTCTTCTTAAAAGCCTCCAGTGACGGAGCATCCACAACTTCTGGAGGCAAGTCGTTCCACTGGTTAATTGTTCTCACTTCCTTGGTTCTAGTCTGGATCTCTCCTGGATTAGTCTTGCACAGTGGATCCAACGGAGCCTTGAGTTGGGGCCGGAGTGCCGGGCTGCCTCTAGAGGGACGGGCAGCAGTTCCCTTGGGATGCTGGGCGGTGGCAGCTCCCTGGCCTGGGGCTCTCCTGCCTCCCAGCAGCTGCGGTTCAAAGCCTCTTTCCTGCACGGCCTGTAAAAAGGGGGGGGGCGCTAGGAATTCAGGCCCCTCTTCCTGGTGGTGCTGGTTAGCCTTAATTCTTGCATGTGTGCTGCCTGAGTCAGTTTCCCTAACACTGGATGTCCCGTGTGTTGGTTTATTTAATCTGTTTATACTGCTTGACCAGTGACTCTGGGTGGCTGGGAGGCCTTAAAATATCCAACACAGGGGAAAAAGAAAGACAATAATAGGGACGGAAGCTGGATGGGGTCCTGTTCCCAGCTCTTCTTTGAGGGTAGCCGGTGGGGAAGCAGAAAAGCTGTGGAGGTCAAAGGTGAGAAAGAAAAAGGAGGGCGTGGCTGTCCACTCTGGGAGGAGAGGCTTGGCGGGCAAGGGAGGGAGGGAGGGAGGGAGGTGGGCAGCTAGCTGGGCAGGCGGAAGAGGTCTCCTCGGCCAGTTCACTTGGGTGGCTCCCGGCAGGCATTCCATTGCTCTCAGGCAGGGAGTAGGGTGCACCTCAGGTGCTGTGATGGCTGCTGACCTCTGACCCCTTCTCTTCCTGGGGGCCAGATTCAGCCTACTGACCTTTGCAGCTGTTGGAGCTCAAAGGGCCCATTCCTCCACTTCCTCCTTGGTTAGAGCCAACCTTCCTCCCACAGTTACTCTGAAAACGCTCCTCCAGTGGTGAACGTGGGGTTGAGTTATTGCTCAGGGATGAGCATTTCGGTGCCCCCTTAATAGTTTGGCTGGGTGTCCAGGGTCAGAAAGCCCTCAGAGAGGTTCCAAATGGTCAATGTCTGTGGAGATTCTCAATCCTCCAGGACACGGTTGTCCCAAAGGTGCTTTTTCCAAAAGGAAACGGGACTTCCTTGGTTTTTTCTTTGAAAACATTTTGCTTCTGATCCAGGAAGCTTCTTCAGTTCTTCGCACAACAGTACAGGGGAACTGTACTGAAGCCCTGAAGTGAAAGCGTTTGCAGCTAAGCAAAATACCCTGACTTCTCCAGCTCTTGAGGCTGAGTTGGCACAGGTCTTCCAGACTGGTATGGACAGTTTGGCATATCTCTGCCAAGCTGGACAGTCTTGAGGGCCCAATTCTTGATTGGAGCTACCAAATATGTTGTTGCAAAGATTCCGATGAACACCAGATGGCAGCAGAGAGATTTAGGCATCCCTTTGCTACCATCCAATGCACACCTGGATATTTGCAGCTGGGACGTTGCTCTTTTTTCCTCTTTAAAACAATATAATTCTTAATATAAATAGAAAGAAGAATAGCAATCTCAAAATCTTAAAAAACCCACAAAGTATAAAACAAAAATGAATTGGAAAAAAGATATGTTGAAATAAATGTAAAATAAGTTCAGTTTTATAGAAAGCTAGTTTTAAGAAATGTATAAGAAATGAACAGATTTCTTCTATCCAGGGTTTTAAATCAAGTGTGATAGAATGTTTTTATGAGAATAAAACTGTTTTTAGCTGCAGTCCTAGCATACTAAACTCTGAATTCTTCATGTTTAATAGATTCCAGATTTTGAGAATATCATTCAATCCTTCCACCTTAAATCTTGAGTATCAAACCAAAATCACAGTGCTACAAACTAAAACCTCATTCTTCATTCCAGTCAGTGTCAATCCTAAAATATTACACCTGCAATTTGTAAAGATTTCACACTGTCCTTCCTACATATCTGCTGGAGGGTTACAAATACAAATGAGAAATAAAATCATTTAGTGATGTTAATAGCACCTTAAGACCATAAAATACTAATTCAATATTTTAAAATCTCTGCCATTTAAACAGGATAGTCCAATTCTGGGTCGAGTTATTGCAGACTTGCCATGTACAGCTGAATAGACTCTTTTAAGTTTTACTTACAAATTAACTGGTGATTCGTGAGCCTCCAAAATCGTTTTCCAGCAACATTGATATTTTAAGCATTCCAAATGCTGATTTCAGCCCAAGCTGTAAAATCAAAAGATGTTTCAAATTAATATCCATATTCTAAGTATAATTTGTGAACAATTTTCAAAACATTCTTGGATTTGTGCCATAATTAACATGTTAATCTTTTAAGATGACCCGAGACTGTTTTGAGATTTGCTGCAACAGACATAGCACAGCTGCCTGGAGGGAGCTAAAATCCCTTCTCTGTTTAGAATTATCTCCAGAAAGAGGTTGGCGCAGCTGCCAGCAGGTGGCGCTGGTGCTGCACAAAAACCTCTCAGCCTGCAGTAAGTGGGGATTGGGGGGGGGGCTCATCTGTGGGCTGCCAAGAGAGAAATTGTAGGGATGATTGTGCAACCCTGGAACTCTCCGCCTTAAAAGGGGGCTCCAGGATGCCTATGCAGCCTGCCCACTTGGGCATTCCCCGGAGCCCAGTTGGGGCTGGGCTGACGTGGGCCAGGGAGGATGCTCCGGGGTCTGGCTCAGCTCCTCAGAAAGGAGGGTCTGCAACGTGTGCCCAGGAGCCGGGCCGAGATTGGTGGGGCCTGCAGGGTACGAGGATTTGGAGTTCACCCCACCCTTCAAACAGACAGCCATTTAATAGGTATAGCGCTTCTGGAGGGGGCTGAGGATTTCCAAGAATGCCCTTTGGAAGAGAAGAGAAACAGGGCATGCCCTTTGGAAGAGAAACGGCATTCTGGGAAATTTCCTTTGTTGGTCAGAGATGAAGGAGGAAGGCTGAGGAAGAAGGGAGATTTCCAGCCCTCCTCATTTGCTTGCTTGAGGTGTAGGATGGCGACTGCAGAGGGGGAGTTGGCTTGATGGACGACAGTGAAGGAGGGAGCCCATTCCATGGAGGGAGGCAGGCCAGAGGCAGCCCAGCCTGGAGGTGGATTGGAGAGGAGGAAGGCGCAGGAGAGACACTTCCTATAGTCTCCCAGGGTATTTCATTAGGGTGAGAGGAATATAGGTTTAGTCTGGCAAGATTCTGTCTACATAGTGTGAGCAAATAAAGAAGTGGCTTTCAGGTGGTTTTTTGTTCTTGGGCCTGGCACTTGGAGCTTTCCACAGCTTCTGGGTCCTGGCGGGGGTTTCTCTGCAGCTTTGAGCAGGGACAGCGTTTCTCTCTCAGCCCTCCATCCAAGAGGGGAGCCTAATGATGCCTCTGGTTTCTTGCAGTCCGCACCCAGTCAAGCCCATGAGAAGCACGCCTGCCCCAGAGTCCCCATGCAAGGAGAAGGCCCGCCAGGCTTCCAGTCTGAGCCCTGGCCAGACCACTGACCAGGAGCAGCTCACCCCCAAGCCCACCATCAGTGGGAGCTTCGCAGTCTCGGTGGTGCAGCTGGAGAAGACGGAGCCGAAACAGGTGAGGAAGGGGCTGAGCTGCCGAGGACAGACGTGCTCCTGAATGCCAGGAGCGCGTCTTCCTTGCTGAACCTTTGGAGCGTCAGTTGTTCCTCTCTCCTATCCGTTGTGCCCAGGCCAGAAGGGGGCATCCTGCACCCGGCCTGGGTTTGTTGGCCAGGTGCAACTACTCTGGCATCTGATTCCCGCCCCACTGGCCCATTGCCAGGAAGCCTGGCCTAGTTTCCTGCTGCAGTTTTTCAGTGACCCCCAGATCTTTTGAGCTCCTGGGTCAGCCCTGGGCTCGGCTCCCTTGGTACCTTTCACAAGGCCTGCAAGCTTCCCAGGGGCATCTCTGCCCAGTCTCTAGGCTTTGGCAAAGGACTGAGATTCTGGGCCCCAGACATGGCGGAAAAGCTGTGCAGGGAGAGGGTGGAGTCAGGAGGGTCAAAGGAGGACTGCCCTTGAGTGGCAGCCAGGAGGAGGAGGGTCCCTCTCCCTGCCCAGTAGCCTTCTGGGGTGGGAATTCTGGGGGACAAAGACAATCCTGGTGGCTCAGCAGACTGATAGCATTGTGATTAACACCAGCTGCCTGCAATTACTGTAAGTTCGAATCTCACCAGGCTCAGGGTTGACTCAGCCTTCCATCCTTTCTAAGGTAGGTAAATTGAGGACCCAGATTGTGGGGGCAATAAGCTGACTTTGTATAAATATACAAAAGGATGAAGGCTATTGCTTAACGCACTGTAAGCCGCCCTGAGTCCCTGGAGAAGGGTGGCATATAAATAAAAAATTTTTTTTTTAAAAAAAGTCCAAACTGGGGGGAAAATGAGCCCTCTGGGACGAGGGGAGCTGTATCAGGCAATCAGAGCCACAAATGAATAATCAAAGCCCTTAACTTTATTGTCTACTGCCTATGTTACAAGAATCTCCCCAGGCTGCTTTCCTCCCCCTGGGAAGGTTCAGATGAGGCTTCTTGATCTTGGAGGAGGTCAAGCCCCCAATAGTCAGTGATGGAGTCAACTGACTATATCGGGATGCCGGGAGCCACAGCCACTTAGTCTTGGAAGGGTTGAGCTTGAGCCTGTTCCTCCCCATCCAGATCCGTACAGCCTCCAGGCACTGGGACATCACTTCAAGGGCATCGTTGGGGTGGCCTGGGGTGGAGATGTACAGCTGGGTGTCATCAGCGTACTGGTGGTATCTCACCCCAAAGCCACGGATGATCTCACCCAGCGGCTTCACATAAATGTTGAACAGGAGAGGCGAGAGGACCGATCCCTGCGGCACTCCACAAATGAGAGGCCTCGAGGTCGACCTCTGCCCCCCTGCCAACACAAACTGCGACCGGTCGGAGAGAAAGGAGGAGAACCACCGCAACACGGTGCCTCCCACCCCCAACTCTTCCAGCCGGTGCAGCATGATACCATGGTCGATGGTATCAAAAGCCGCTGAGAGGTCTAACAGGACCAGAACAGAGGAACAACCCCTGTCCCGAGCCCTCCAGAGATCATCAACCAACGCGACCAATGCCGTTTCTGTGCTGTGCCCAGACCTGAAACCCGACTGGAACGGATCTAGATAAGATGTTTCCTCCAGGAATTGCGGAAACTGTCGTGCGACCACACTCTCAACAACCTTCGCCATAAAGCGAAGGTTGGAGACAGGACGATAGTTGGCCAATATTGCCGGATCCAGGGACGGCTTCTTGAGGAGAGGCCTCACCACCGCTTCTTTCAAGGCGGCGGGGAAGTGACCCTCACTCAACGAAGCGTTGATAACACCCTGGAGCCAGCCTCGTGTAACCTCCCGGGAAGCCAGTACCAACCAGGAGGGACACGGGTCCAGTAAACATGTGGCCGCACTAAGTCTCCCCAAAATCCTGTCCACATCATGAGTCACAGCATCAAACTCCTCCCAGATAACATTCTCAAGACTATTCCTCGTCACCCTGCCCTGATCTACCCAGTCAGAGTCCAAATCCCCCCGGATCTGGGCGATTTTGTCATACAGGTATTGTCCGAAATCCTCCGCCCTGCCTTCTAAGGGATCCAGGGCGGCCGGACGATTCCCTGATGACGCAATAGAGGCGGAAAAGTAGTTAGACTTTGCCGTCTCTATCGCCACTAGGTAGGCCTTAATATGCGACCTAGGCCCTCGCTTGACTCCTCCTCCCAGCCCATCGGGCGGTTTCCCAACAAGCTCACCCTCTGTGGCCCTGCTCTTCAGCCCCCATCTGTCTCCCCCCCTTGTGTATCTGCAGAGCCCCCCCACCAAGTACCACCACCTGACGCGGGAAGAGCTGCTCCAACTTCTGCTGCGACGGGAGGCTGAGCTGGGCAAGAAGGAGGAGCAGGTGCGGGAGCTGGAGGGCTACATCGACCGGCTGCTGGTGCGCATCATGGAGCAGTCACCCACCCTGCTGCAGATCCCTCTCGAGGAGCGGGCCAAGGCCACCCAGTAGCCCCCACCAGGAATCTTATCGCCCCTCCCTTCCTGCCTGGGTTTGGTCTGCTGAATGTTCCCCTCCTTTGGCGCAGACAGCACCCCCCACCTCAGGATACCCTGCTCCCGCAGCCCCAGCCTGGGATCTCTGGACCTCCAAACATCTTGGCATTACGACTCTTCTTGGCACAGGCTGCGAGGTGGTCCTGCAAACTTCCTGGCCTGTCCCTTTGCGAACTCTGTCACCTCGACCACACTGCAGTCAGGCAGTCTTTGCCGCCCACTTATGCCCCCCCTTCCCCTTGGCTGAAATGGGAGGTTTGCATTGGGGGCAGTCGAAGGGAAAGGCACTGGTGGCTGACCCAGGAAAAGCCGCCTGATTGGACAGAGCTGGGACCTATGCTTTGCCTTCTTCCATGAGGACTAGTGTCTTCCTCTGATTTGTTCAGTGTTCAAGGTGGTGCCATCACGCAGCACCTCGGAACCAGCCTGATCTTTTCCGTGTCATCTCAGGGCGGGGGGCGCTGTGCCTGCCCCAGAGTAGCACCAAGGGCTGGCTGTGCATGCCAAAACCATTCTCCTCTGCCCTGTTTCTCCATCTTCTACTTGGCCTACACACGAATGGAAGGAGGGGCGCATCTGCCTGAAGCGGTAATAAGACAAGATGTGCCTTTTGACACCCCACCCCCACACAGAACCTGGCCTGCATGTAAGGAGGGGCCCTCCCTCGCCTTATTTACTGACGTCACCCAGGAATCTCACAGCAAGGAGAGGCTGCTTTTAAGGCAGGCAGAGGCTTAAAAGGTCTGGAGGAATGCCTTAGCTCCTGGGGAGGCAATAGGGGGATTGACCACCGGTCCCCTTGGCTGCCTAGAAGCTTTGTGTCAAGGGTGGACGCCCTTCCTGGTAGCTTAACTCTTCTGGAAAGCCTTCCTGTGGCCCTCCTGGCTCCCTTGCCAAGAAGGCCTGGGTGGGGAGGGCACTACTGAAGGCCTGAAGCAAGGCAACCCCGATGCCCACAACATGAGGGGAATCAAATGAAAGGAAGCCCCCTGCCCCCATCTTGGGAAATGGCTGGGCAAGGAGGCTCCCTAGATTTTCATTCATCCTGTTTCTTCCAAATGTTTTTACTGTTTGCCCTTTAAGTACGGTGGGGGGGAGCACATGATGATGAGAGGGCACCAGAAGAAGCCTTTTTGGGGGGGGGGCTGGTAGTCCTTGGCTGCGATGGGGGGGATTTGTGCCTGTCCCCCTTGAGCTTGCAGTGAGCGGCCTCTTTGACTGCCGTCTCCTTAGTGGCCCCAATGTTCCCCACCCACCTGGGCCCGTCTTGGAGACCTGGGTTGGATGTTGCCTGCCTTTGCTTTGGAGAAGCTCCCAGTGTGGTTCCCCCCCACCCACATCTGGCAATAGCCACATAACGCCTCCCCACGTCCCACCCCCTCCCCCCTCCCCGTGGGAACCTTTTTCTCCATTACAGGCTCTGCCTTGTCCTGAGTGGCCTCTGGAAGAATGGAAGGGGGGGGGGCGCTCTTGTGTTAAGTGCAGTTGATGATGTTTGTTTCATAAAAATTTTGACTCTCTTCTGTTTTAAGCACTTTAAAGACAAAATAAAAATGGTTGAATTGTTGCTTAGACAGTTCGTATTTCCCAATAGTCCTTTTCACACGTGTCTTGGCTAATTCGCATTCCAAGATCCCCAGATTTCCACTGTTTCTCCACCGTAGGGAGTGGGTAGTTGCCCAGCTGGGGATGTGGGGGTGGGGGAGATGCTCTTTTAAGGCAGCAGCTGGGGGCTGGCTGTGCCCTCTGCCTCATCACGAAGAGCTTCCCCTGGCCAGCCAAGTCTTGGGGGCTGCACAGAGCAGGCTGGTTTCTCTCTGTTTCCTGCTCTGCAGGGTGAGCTTTTCCCTAACTGGCGGGGGGGGGATCTCCCCTTCTGCAGAAGAGGGTAGGGGGAGCTTCTCTCGTGGTGGGCTACTTGGTCCCCATGCTGCTCCCCCCCCCCCGGCTTTGCTGGTGGGATGGGATTTTCCTTCAGGGGTTCAGCCCCCTCCTCAAAGGTCAGCCAGAGAACTTCTACAGAATGCATGAAGGCAGTACATGTTTATGCTAGAAATAGGAAATAGAAGGAACATGGTATCATGCTTGGTGGCCTTGTAAAAACACTTTAAAAATATTGGATGATACATAGCTTGAATACAGAATATTGAAACAAAAGGTCAACATTAAATTGAAACCGGGAATTCTAAGATTGATGGACACACAGTTAGAAAAAAGTCACTGAAGATTATCTCAATATATGGTTGCCCTGGAGATTATATGCAGAGATGGGAAGATTTCGCACTGCCCTCCAGGGAGGGACGGCTGGTGAAACTGGGCAGATCTCCCTGAGATGGGTAAACTGGCTTCTTTGATTAGAGAAGAAGCATTATTTACATTTACTGACTTTTTGTGTAAAAATGAAAAAAAGAACTTGTGATTTAGAGTTTAGAGTCTTAGGATAAATTATAGAATGAGCAACAAGTAACTTTGTTGTTAGTTGTGAAGTCGTGTCTGACCCATTGCGACCTCATGGACAGCATTCCTCCAGGCCTTCCTGTCCTCTACCATCCTCTGGAGTCCATTTAAGCTCACACCGACTGCTTCAGTGACTCCATCCAGCCACCTCGTTCTCTGCCGTCCCCTTCTTCTTTTGCCCTCCATCGTTCCCAGCATGAGGCTCTTCTCCAGGGAGTCCTTCCTTCTCATTAGGTGGCCAAAGGATTTGAGCTTCCTCTTCAGGATCTGGCCTTCTAAGGAGCAGCCAGGGTTGATCTCCTCTAGGACTGACCAGTTTGATGGCCTTGCAGTCCAAGGGACTGGCAGGAGGGCCTTTAGAGAGGTAACGTCAGAGAGGTTAAATGTGATATGAAGATTATCAGAAGCCACTTTATTATCATTTTTTAAAGCTTTTCATGCACTTTTTGCTTTTTCTTCCTTACTTTATATTAACATTAGTCTTGAGTTTCTTTAAAAAATTTAATACAAGTTAAGACGCACACACTCAGAGAGAGAGAGACTTCAATTCCCAGGATCCCCTGCTGGTTGACCTATTGCAGGGGTGGGGAACTAGCACCCCTTTATGACTTGTGGCGTCTGGCTCGGGAGTTCTGGGAAGCCCGCAAAGGGCCCGAAGTTCCCACCTCTGATCTCTCGGAAGGGTGTTCCAGTCCTGGCGCCCGCGAGCTCCTCCTTGGGGAAGGCTGCGGACGGTCAGCGCTGCCCCGCCCGCCCCGCGCGGAGAACGGCGCTTCCTCACCCCGCCCTGTCGCGGAGGGGGCGGGGCCGCGCGGGTCCGGCCACAGAACGGCCCTTGCGCCGCCAGAGGAAACTACCCGCCCCAGCAGGCTCCGCGGGAGCTGCGGTGCGCCTCAGCCAATCGGGGGCGGGCCAGGCTGCAAGGGGCGGGGCCGGGCTGCAAGGAGCACTTCGCACGCGAAAGTGGCGCCGAGCGGGGATGGCGGAGAGCGCGGGGTTCCCGGCCTTCCAGCTGGGGAAGCCCCGCTTCGAGCAGGTGGGCTGCGGGGCTGCGCGCGCCGGCATCGGGGAGGGGGCGCCTGCCGGGCGGGCGCTGGGCCGTCCCTCGCCCGGGGGCTCCGCTGCCGGAGAAGAGCGACTCCCGCCCCCCCCGCCGCCAGGCCGCCCGCTGATTGGGCGCTACCGCTGTCGCTTGCCTTCTGGAATTCCCGCCCTTTTCTGGATGCCAGGAAGGTTTTTGATTGGCAGTTGCTTTCCCCCAGGGGCGGGGCTTCTCCTCCGGTGGCGAGTTCGAGTCTAGGTGCGGGAAGGAGGCGGGGGAGGGGTGCGGAGGAACTGGGTCCGTCTCTAGAAGAGGGCAGGGCAGCCGTGCCAGGGCTGGGGGCAGCGTCCCCTGCGTGAGGGGGCTCAGGGCTCCTCGGCCCCGTGGGAGCTGCCCGCCTTTAGCCCAGCAGGGCAAGGGCGGAGGGCGCTGACCCCGAGGGAGGGAGGGAGGAGGGAGGGAGGGGGGGGGCGCAGGCTCTTCAGCCGCAGCTGAGCCGCGCTGCCCAAAGCCGGCCCGGGGGTTCCCTCCGCAAGGCTGCCCGAGGAAGGCAGAGCGGCCGGCTTCCCTCCCGGTCCTTTGCAGGGAGGAAGTTGCCTCCCCCGAGGACCCCCCCCTTCTCTCCCGGGCTCAGAGCCCCCGGAGGACCCTTGGCGGGGGAGGGGCGCTTTTGGGGCAGCCGAGGCCTTTGGAAGGGGGGGCAATTTCACCCAAAGGGAGCCCCCCCTCCTCCTCCCCCTGCCCCCCCCCCCCGACAAAGGGCCTGCCTGGGTCTTCCTGCCTGGCAGTGCCAGCCTTTCGGGAGCGGAGGTGCCCTGCTGCTTTGGGGGGGGGGTGTCCCTCATCTGTCATTGGGGAATGGCGGCCTTTCTGAGAGGCAGAAGGAATGACTTTCTTTGCCTTCTGCTCTGCTCTGCTCTGGGCCACTGGCAGCCCCTTCGCTTCATTGGAAGGGATGCCTCACGTCCTACTTCTGGCCCACCCCAAAAAGTACACAGGTTTATTTGCCACGGGTTCTAGTCGAAGTTCAGCCTCCATAAATATCACTAAACCTTGGACTTTGCTCCTCAGAACTGCCCAGGTGATAAGAGAGAAAACCTTACCTGGCTGTTTCCTCCAGACCTTCAACCCTCTGAAGGGCCTGGGGCAGCCTGTGCTGCTTCCTCAAGGCTGTTTTGCTCCTTTGCTGAAGGGGGGCTGGTCCCTTTGGAGGGGCGCCTGCACCCTTCCGGGGTCTTGCTGGGCTGACTCGCCTCACCAAGTGAGCAAACAGGAAGAAGAGGCAGAGTTTGGCAGAAGACTTCCCCATTTTCATTCCATCTTTCAGCCAGCCTCTTTCCCTCCAGGCTTGCCCTGGGAGGGGGGCGCAAAGTTTTGGGGAGCCTGCGGCCGGAGTGAACAAACAGAGTTAGAGGGCGCATGAAAATTTGGGGAGGGGAGGAGCAGGGAAGGCTCCAGGTACCCCAGACAACCAGGGAACAGCATGTGACCTGCTGCAATGGAGTTTGTGTCTTTATGGGGAGGGAGGGAAGGGCCTGAGGAGGGGGATTCCACCACCTCCCAGGCAGAGAGAACATGTTGCGGATTGCTGCTTTAAATTTCAAGAGTAGATCCCAACTAGTGGAGAGCAAAGCAGGAAGGATTCCATGGATGAAGGTCCTTAGGGGAAAAAACAGTTGGGGAGAGTTGGGAAACCTAAAAAACGAGATAATTAAAGCCCAAACCTAGTCAATTCCAAAGAGAAATGAAATGGGAGACCTTCCCAATGAGGCCACCATGGTTGCACCAAAAGCTCTCTGGTGGACTGAGAAAAGGGACAAGTTTAAGAAATGGAAAGGGGCACGTACAGAAAACAGAACATCAGCAAATAACTCTAATCTGCACAGATGGAGTCAGGAAGGCAAAAAGTCAGCATGACGATGAACAAGAAGGAAGGTTCTTTGGGTATGTGTGGAACAATGGAGGTCAAGGAAGCAGACGGTCAACCGGTCCCCTATGCTGTGGACTATCCTAGGCTGTGGAAGGAAGCAGCAGGTGTGATCTCAGGAGCATCTTCTGTAGTCTCTGACAGTGCTGGGGTCCACAGGAAAGGCCAGAAGACTGGAGAAAACCTGATATTGTCCCAAGCTATAGAAAAGGGGGCTCAGGAAACTGTAGACCAATCGGCTTAACACCAATCCTATCGGAAGGCATTGGGTTTGCAAGACTTCACCAAGGCTTTGGTCCTTTGATAAGATGGCCCATTGCCCCGTCCTTCTTCAAATAGGACAGTATGGGCTGCTCCACCAGATGGAGTTGCAGTTGGTTGAACATCCATACCCAACACTTGGACCTTAATGGACCTGTGTCAAGCTGGGGGCATTGGGGTATCTTGCAGCTCTGTCCTGGCTCTGTTCTTCCTCAGCCTTCTTAGATCTTAAGTGGGGGGGGGGAGTGTCAAGGAGATGGTCATCAAATTTGCAGATGGCCACAAGCTGGTAGAAACTTGAAGCATCTCAGAAGACGGATTAACATTCAAAGGAATCTTGATAGACTTGAATATTGGCCCCTTTTTTAAAAATGCTACTTAGCAGCAAGAAATAGAAAAAGCCAGAGGCCCAAGAAGAAAAGGGTTCTTTTCCGGAGTGACCTGAGGATCCTTGCCCTAGTCTTGGGGCTGGACTAGAAGACCTTGAGCCACCCTGGAAGTCTGCGGAATGTGTTGGAGCAGATGAGGGGGGGGGTCCCGGATGTGTCCTAGGAGGACAGAGAAGTTAGGAAGGTCTGGGAGGAGCATCTCACCCACCCACCCTCTCTGGCAGAAGCAAACTTTTGGTGGAACATCAGCCAAAAAGAAGCAGGACTTGGAGGGCCTGGGTTCAGGTGGCGCTCTAGCCTCTCCCTCTTAGAGAATGGATTACAGCCACGTGGGCAGACCACATTGTGGGGTATTGTAGAAGACATGTGGACCACAAGGACTGGAGAAACTCGAGAGGAAGATGATGGATGATTCCTTGCTAAAAGGACCCCAGGAGGCTGTGCACAGTCCTTGGATGATGTCGTGGGAAACGTGGCCTTCCAGGGGCCCACTCAG